ACTTGGTAGTCCAGGCTGGCCTCGAACTCACAGAGATCCGCCTGCCTCTGCCTCCCGAGTGCTGGGATTAAAGGCGTGCGCCACCACCGCCCGGCGCAAAGAGACTTTTGGTTCACTGTTCTTGGAAGATCTGAATCTCTGATGAATGTGTGGAGTGGGCAAAACTGCTCTCAATAGAATTAGGCTTTTAGAACAGGAAGCAAGGTGTTATTCATAATCCAAACAATTTCCTCCAAACAATAATTGAGCCACAGGGAATTGGTTCTATGAGAGTTTGCTCTTATAAACTATTCAGCTTCTTCACATCTGTGCTGCCATTGCAAAGTTACTCTGCTTTCACAGTTAGGAGTAGCAATCATCCTTTCTTAATTTTAGAATCTAGAGGTATGTATTTTAATAGATAAAATAAGTTGACCTGAATTCTACTTTAATGGCTTAGCAATATCACCATTGAAGGTCTTCTCTGTTTCTCAGAGTAAGTGTTCATTTACCAATATGACTTTTCTTTTGTATCTTTATACCCTATCCAATAAAACTTAAGTCCTAATTTGTAGAATAGCAAAATGCAATGCACAAGAAGCTCTTACGGAGTGCATAAAAAACTTCTTTCTGTCGGTAGTATTGTGCTTTTCATGGAAGAGCCAGGTTACAATCCTGATACATGTGGACATTTGTCATCAAAGGAGAATGGAAGTGCTCCATGATATGATGTCTGTGTGCTCTTTATTTCTGTGGTAAATGCTTGAAGTATTGTCTCAGGCAGATTCATAACATGATTATTGCTTCAGCATGCTATAAAAGAATATAGAATTTATGCTTTTAGAAACCTGTATAGAATTCATGTTTTAGCACTATTGAAATTTTCTACAAGTGTTAGGCTGAGTTAAAGGTATAGCAAATCAATATAGTCTGAAGATTTGTTTCTTAGTATTTTTTCATTATCTCCTGCCAACTTAGCAGGAAATTTTTAATGCCCCTCATGAGTATGTGACACCACCAATGTATGCACACGTACATCTATGTACACAGGCATATGTATAGAATTTAATTCCCTCATGTATGCCATATGTGTTTATATATGAATATTTTGTATGTGTAAATATTTAATATTGACTGGTGCCCTCATCCCCAAAACAATTATTTTTCTTCTTGAGCAAAAATAATGCAGATGCTGAGCTTATTTTTAAAAACTAAGAGTTTTGTTGGTATGAGAGCATCATGAGTTAGGCTACTTGGGATGAGGAACTTCAGTTGAAAAAATGAGGGAATAGCTTACAAGACATCTTGGGTTCAGACGAATATGTAGAGAGATCCAATGCTTACATGATATGTGTCATGCTCAGTTTAATTTCCCAACTTAATTAGCTAGGGAAAATTAGGTAAGTCTCAATCTCTAACACTTTTTGAAACACATCTGAAAATATATTTGGAGAAAAACATTATTTTAGGCAAAGATCATTTTAGGGGAAAAAATCATGTTCATGGAAAACAGAGTAAACATGGAGAAGACTTGCACACACACACACACACACACACACACACACACACACACACGGCTCAATATATATTTGGTGAAATTTTAGAACATTAAGTACATGTCCCTAAGCCACTTTAATTTGTTTTAGATTTATTTATTTTACATATACAATATTTTGCCTGCGTTTATGTATGTGCAGCATGTGTGTACCTTGTGCCTGACGAGGGCAGAAGAGAGGGCACGGTAGTCTCTGGCGCTGAAGTTGCAGAGGAATGTGAGACACCTCCTTATCATGCTGAGAACTGAACTCAGTCTTCTACAAGAGTCACAAGGGCTGGTAACCTCTGAGCTCCAGAGCCCTGAGTCATTTTTCTGCCATGTGCATTTACAACTTTAAGAAGAGGACTCAGTATTATGCAGAATGATGATAGATTGCATGTACAAGAATAATCATGCACTTTAAATTTCTTCCTCTTTAGACCTTCTCTGGAGCCACGATAACAAGATGTTAAAGAAAAACTACACAGCAGTAACTGAGTTCATTTTCCTGGGACTGACAGATCGATCAGAGCTGCAGCCTGTGCTCTTTGTGGTCTTCCTACTCATCTACCTCATCACAGTGGCTGGCAATGTGAGCATGATTTTCTTAATCAGAAGTGACACCAAGCTCCACACCCCTATGTACTTCTTCCTTAGCCACCTTTCATTTGTAGATCTCTGTTATGCCACCACAGTCACCCCTCAGATGTTGGTTAACTTTTTATCCAAGAGAAAAACCATTTCCTTCATTGGCTGCTTTTTTCAGTTCCACTTTTTTATTGCCCTGGTGATCACAGATTATTATATGCTTGCAGTGATGGCTTATGACCGCTACATGGCCATCTGCAAGCCCTTGTTATATACTAGCAAAATGTCCAAAGGTGTCTGCCTTTCCCTTGTGGCTGCACAGTACATTTACGGCTTTGTAAACGGTCTGATACAGACTATCCTGATGCTTCGTTTGAATTTCTGTGGCCCCAATGAGATCAATCACTTCTACTGTGCAGACCCCCCTCTCATGGTCCTTGCTTGCTCAGACACCTATGTGAAAGAAACTGCCATGTTTGTGGTGGCTGGATCCAACCTCACCTGCTCTCTCACCATCATCCTCATCTCCTACATTTTCATCTTTGCAGCCATCCTGCGAATCCGTTCTGCAGAGGGGAGGCGCAAGGCCTTCTCTACTTGTGGGTCCCATCTGACAGCTGTGACCATCTTTTATGGAACATTGTTCTGCATGCACCTGAGGCCCCCTTCAGAGACATCTGTAGAACAAGGGAAAATTGTAGCTGTTTTTTATATCTTTGTAAGTCCTATGTTAAACCCATTCATCTATAGTCTGAGGAACAAAGATGTGAAAAATGCAATAAGGAAACTTATCCGGAAATGATTTGTGAGTAAAGTTGACATACTCACATGTATGTAAAAATGTTCTTATTATCTGACAAAGAACTGTGTGTTTTAATTGAACAGACCTTCTTCTGCCACGGATTATGTTTTATGTTTCTAAATTCACTTGTAGAATTTACTAGTTTGTATTATTTCATTAGCTGGAGATTACAGTGTAATCTCAGTTTTTTTTGTAGCGTAGTAATTCAGAAACTGGAGCAGGGACAGTGCTTATTTTAATTAATAAAGAACATGATTGTATCCATAGCACCTACAGTGACTCAGAGTTGTAAATTATGTAATTATCCAGTGCTCTGACTTGTACGGTTTTTGCAATTTTTTTTCCATCCATAGAAAGAAAAAGTTTCATTTGCTTATTTTTAATACAAATTATAAGGCAATAAAAGTTTGTTTTGGATATATAACTAATATCATTTCTTTAAAATGTGTCTTTCAGCTGATATTACTGAACCAATGACACCATTGCACATGGGATGTTTGTTTGAAAGGCATAGTTTTTGTTGGATGTGCTTTGTGTCTTTTACTGTTATGTATGACCCTCAATTTGTAACCTCTCCTCCATTCTTTCATTATAGTTATAGAAGATGTTTGTGCCTGTGGATCCTGGCGGCTCTAACAAGCCAGGCTTGCAGACTCATCCGCAGCAGCCCACTTAAAAGCACAGCTAGCAGTGAGAAGCAGAGAAAACAAACACAAACAAAAGCAGAAAACATTTATTCAATAAGGTCATATTAAGAAGAAGAGTGAAGGGGTCCAGTGACACCCCAAGTCTATCTTTGTGATCATGAGTATTAGATTTAAATACAATGCAGGAATGATATACTTATAAAGTCTTAGTCAAGGTACTGTGTGGTCTTGTCAATTTTCAATGCCTCAGCTCTAGTCTCTCTTGCAAAATGAACTGACAAGTTTTCAATCAATTCTAGGGGTGCAAGCTCCCCCTTTGCTTCATAACAGATTCTTGGGCTTTTCCTTTACCCAACATGAGGTTCCTAGAGAGTTCTCCACTAGGGGTAGTGGGTGATCCATTGTTTCAGTAGTATGATAGCAAAGAGAGGAGCAGAATTGTCTCTTTAGAACATCTTCATTCCTGCCGAGGACAGTTACACAGCTCTTGCCTGTTCTCTATGAATAGCTGCCTTAGATGTTTTAACCTTATCAGTTCATGGTATTCTTGTGTATCTGCACAATTCTAACCTCATGGTCACAGTTTCACCTACTCATTGCTTGTTCCAATTTCTTTTGTGATAAAGCCTAATGCATTGTTTTGTCTGTTTATCAAATATTATATTTGTATATTCTTAAATTTATTTTAGATTTTTACCTTAAAGTATTACCATTTTCTTACTACATAGTTATACACATGCATATTCTCCATTTTAACTTTTTTTATTGCCATATGTTTTGAAATGTTTTTTATTTTTACATATTATCAAATGACATATTTTTTTATTGGTTCATTGTTTGGTCTTCAGGAGTTAGATTGATTCCTAAATACAATGAATTTGGTATTACATGTATTTTAAAATTAATTTTAGGAATTTATCTTTTAATTGTTTAGAAGGCCAATTTTTAACATTAACCAAAAAGGAAATAAGGTAATGAACCCTTTGTTATTATTCCCTGATCTTTATGCGATGTTAGCACTGACTTAAAATGTTTTGATAATAAAGTTGAGCTTTCTCAGTAAACGCTTCTTGTAATTTAGTGTATCTTATCATTATGTAGAGTTACCCTAGTCATTGGCTGTTTGTGTATCTGTGGAATTACACAGTGTGATTTGGCTAGATAAATCTTGATGGAGATAAAATAATTCTGTGTCTCTGCAAACTGTTTTGTTTTTAACTAACATTGTTAAGCATATCCATATCGATTCATATAACATCACTTTTAATTAATATAGTCTATGACAGTGCAAGACATGATACATGTATCCAATTCTGCTCTTAAAGTATCATTGCATATTTCTACATTCTTGTTAATATGAAAACCAAGTGATAAATTGAATTATGTGAGTCTAAATATGTCCCAGTGATAGAGTTTCTTTTTGGTGAGTGCTAACTTTGCACCATAGGACACGCTCATGTTTAAATTCATGGGTCTCCTTCAAATGCTTCACTATCAGAATACCAAGAATATGCAAATGTTCTTCTACCACATTCTATAAAGCACAGATACTTTCAAATTTCTTAAACATTCTCCAGTGGAGAGGATTCAATCTATGTTCTCATTTCTTTGGATTATTATTACAGATGAAATTACATACTTTTTAATATTTTGCTCTTTTCCCACTTTTTAGACAGTTGTTTTATCATTTTTACTTCATTTGTAAGAGCTTCTCAACATACTGTTCTCGGTTGATGTTTTGATATCATGTCTACAAACTCTTGACAGCTTACATTTCAGTTTTTCACATGTTGTACTTTGTGAAACATATTCATTTAAACATAGTTCAGTCTCATTGGTCTGTTTAGCTGTACTCTTATGTGCCGATTAAATTATGTCTGAAGGGTCCATAAAAGCCTCTGGCGGCCTGAGAAGTTCTGGATAAGAAAGGTGACCTGACTGCTGACACCTGTGGAAGCATCTGATGAGGAGGTGCACATACCAAACCCATTGATATCTACCACTTTCAGGGGACCTGACCAGATGGACTCTACCACCCCCAAACTTCTGGTTTTTCTGTCCCATAAGACCTCTAGAGCCCCATTTCATGTGTGCGTAGTCTCCACTCTATGGAGAGACTGTGACCCTTCAGTTGTACTGAATAAAGAACAATTCTGCTTCTGGAGATGCCTGTCTGTTTTCTTTTATTTCCAAATTACCTCCACCAATCCCATTCTAAAGTTTCCTCTTGTGAAGATATACATGCATGTCTTTAGGACTTTATACCTCCCCCTATTACAGTACAATACAACAGAATATGATTCCAATATTTAACAAAATTATCATTTTCTAGTTCTGCATTATTTACATTTAATTAATTTTTAAACCATTTTGATTTTTTTTGAGATTGTAGTATAATTATAACATTTCTTCTTTCCTTTTCCTCCTTTCGAACTCTCCTATATACCCTTCCTTGCTCTCTTCAAAATGACTTATTTTTATTGTTCTTGCATATATATATATATATATATATATATATATATATATATATATATATTCCTAAATTTAACCTGCTCAGTCTATGTAATGTTATTTGTGTATATGTTTTCAGGGCTGACCATTTGGTGTTATATAAACAGTTTGTATACTTTTCTCTGAGGAAGACTATTTCTCCTATACTCAGCATTCCTTAGTTGCCTGTAGTTCTTTGTCTAATAGGTTGAGGCCTTTTGGGCTTTTCCTTGTCTACTTGGCTTGTCTATTGTTTTTATCTTTGTGGAAAGTAGGCAGAAGACTGCAAAAGCTAGAAGGTACTTTGCTGTAAGACTGTCTCCTAGTAATTTCAGATGTTATAACAATATATTTTCACCAACATGACTGTCTAAACAGCTGTATTTGAAAAACCTTTAATTTCTCAAGTTTCCATGAATGTGCCAGTTTGCATATAAGATCTTTATTGTAGTATCAATATTGTGGTTTCAGTATTGTGTCAATCTTTTGACTACTAAAAGTCATCTTAACAAAAAACAGATTTTACAACCCCTATCTAGAATCTCACATCAGATTTTTAAAAATTGTTTATGGGAGAAAAGAAAACATCTTTAAAATGAATTGAAACATTTGTACTTTCTCTGGTGCTGATATCTATTGTTTCTTCAAAAGATCCATCAAACTTCATTTATATAGCAGTGATGCTAAATAACAAAAATAGAAGAACAATTGAATTGGAGCCTAAATTGAGTCTGTTTCCACATATGTACTTTGATAGCCACTATTACTGAATTCCCTAAATATGGAAGGGTTTACTGAGTAGGCAATCCTTGTATTTGCTGAGTGCCTCAGTCAGGCTCTCTTTCCTAGCCAACCAGGACTAGTTCCAGCCCAGAAGATATGTATGCTTCACACAGGTGTTAGGATTTGCTGCGAAAAGACAAAGAAGATGACCGATACAGTTAGATGTAATTGGATTACAATTCTCAGTGGAAATAACATTTAAGCTCAGCCTGGCGCCTGGCCTTGGATCTCTGCATCTGCTTCCATCAGTTACTGGATAAAGGCTCTATGATGACAGTTAGGGTATAAACTAATCTGATTACCAGAGTAGGCCAGTTCAGCCACCCCCTGGACTATTGCTAGTAATATAAGGTGGGGTCATTTTTGTGGATTTCTGGGAACTTCCCTAACACCCTGTTTCTCCCTGTTCCTATGATGTCTTCATTTATCATGGTTATGTCTTTCCTTACTCTCCCTCTCTGTCCCTGTTCAGCTCAAACCTCCCGTTCCCTTATGTTCTCATCCCCCATCCCTTGCCCTCCATTACCCCCTTCACGCCCAGTTTGCTCATGTGGATCTCATCTATTTCTCCTTCACTGGGCAATCTATGCATCCCTCTTAGGGTATTCCTTGTTAGCTAGCTTCTCTGGAGCTATGAGTTGCAGTCTGGTTATCCTAGTATCCACTTATGAGTGAGTACATATCATGTTGGTCCTTCTGAGTCTGAATTACCTCACTCAGAATGATATTTTCTAGTTCCATCCATTT